CCAATTTTTCCACATCCTTCTTGTAGTGTGGGGCCCAAAACTGGACACAGTATTCCAGATGAGGCTTTTCTTATATAGACTTTTTCTTATATAAGACTTTTTCTTATATAGGCTCCTATTACCCCCCACCCCCATCCCGATTTTTCACATTTGCTGTTTGGTCACCCTACTTCCACCCCTGCCCTTAACTGTACCTATTGCATTGCTACCTCTGCTATCATAACCATGAAATATTTACAGAGAAATAATGTTACTGAAGCAGAAAATGACTGAGGAAATTTGGGAACCTAACAGTTACAAACTAGATCTTTCCTTCTGGATTAGCAGACACCTCTAGTTCTTGACTGCTGGATCCAGATAACAATATATCCAGTGCATAACCCTTCCCCGATCCTCTTCTTGCCAAGCTATGTGAAGCTTAACAAACATTAATGAAGCCTTTTAACACCCTTATAAGACATGATGTGATATTATCCCCATTTTACAATTCATTAAATGGAGACAAAGAGAATTCTCTTTGACAAGTAAAAATGCTTAGTTTTAAAGCCCCTCTGAGACACAGTGAGAAGAGAAGAGCAGAATCTAGCTAATTTGCACATTTTATAATTCACACAAAACAAATGTGATCTCTCCCCTGTTCTCTGCAAAGCGCGAGTGGAGTCTCATTTTCCTTTTACTGAATATATTACAGGACACTTAGTACAATGGGGCAGATCCTGCAGCCCATTTTCATGGGTGCAAATAGTCTTTATTCATACAAGTCGTCCCACTGTCCTCAAAGGAACTACACAGTAAGTAGGAGTTGCAGGAATGAGCCCATTATGAAGTACCATACAGGATTTTCCTAAATAATTAAGCTACATAGATACAAACTAAATGAACAAAACACAGTTTGGGATCCAGTCCCTTGGCTGGTTTTGTGTTGTATCTGTTTCATTACTAATTTGCAAAATTCACTCATTCACCGTAGGTCCTCCAGTCATTAAAGCCAAACAGCGAGGTTCCACTGTATTAGATAAGGAACCCGATGCACCAGTACAGTACAAGTGTGAAGAGGGAAATGCATGAGTCTATGAAATGGGACAGCACTGACAGAAAATGGATATACATCACTTTTTTCACTAGCATAGTCCCATGAATTTCCATGGAGTTAGTCCTGATCTATGCAAGTCCACATGAGGGGAGAATCAGGCTCTATGATGACTTCCTGGAGAGCTGAAGTCCAGTATTTCCATAATTCTTACATAGCACCAGGAAAAAAAGTTTTCTCTGGAAAGAGATGAGAGTTTGTCTGAAATGTTCCTCTTCCTTTATTGATCAAGGGCAAATTTTAAGGGGCATATTCTGATCTCAGTTAAACAAGGAGAAATGCAGTGACTTTTGCCAAGAATCAGGGCACTTAAAAGCAACATCTTGCCAACAGGCAACTTCATAGGTGATGGAACTAGTGGTATAGGGGGTGCTGCAGCACCCCCAGGCTTGAAGTGGTTTCCATTATATACAGGGTTTACAGTTTGGTTCAATGGCTCTTAGCACCCCCCACTAGAAAAACTGTTCCAGCACCTCTGCACATTGGTTAGTGGTAAGGGAACAATTTGTACAGTGGGGGTGCGGAGACCTATTGAACCAAACTGTAAACTCTGTATATGCTGGAAACCACAGCATCACCCCTAGTTCCAGCACCTATGCACCCAGGGGTGGGGTGGGGAGCAGGGCCGGCTTTAGGCCAATTCAACCAATTCCCCTGAATCGGGCCCCGCCCCCTAAGAGGGCCCCACGCCCAAGCCCCGGTATGGCGTACCGGCAAGAGCTGGTGTGCTGTACCCGGGTGGCCCGGCTTCCCCAGGGGGCAATTTAAAGGGTCTGGGGCTGGAACCCCAGGCACTTTAAATTGCCACCAGAGCCACAGTGCTGGAGCCCTGGGGTATGGCTGCGGGGCTCTGGGGGCTATTTAAAAAGTCTGGGGCTCCCGTTGCTTCTACCGCCCCGGCCTTTTAAATAGCCGCTGGAGCCCCACCGCTAACCCAGGGGTAGCAGCAGCAGCCCGGGGCTCGGGGACTATTTAAAGAGCCGGGGCGGTGGAAGCAGGGGAGCCCCGGGCCCTTTAAATAGCCCCCGAGCCCCGGGCTGCTGCTGCTACCCCTACCCCGGTGGGGGAGGGAAGAGGAGGGGGCACTTACCGTACAGAGTGGGCTGTACCCGCACCCTCTGCCCGCACCAGCCCCGCACCTCCTGCCCTGCCCGCAGCCAGCCCCTGTCTCTGGCCAGCCCTGCACCCCCTGCCCTGCCCGCAGCCAGCCCCTGTCTCCGGCCAGCCCTGCACCCCCTGCCCTGCCCGCAGCCAG